TCCCTAGGATGCGTATATCAATTGGGTAAGCTAGGCTCTGAGACCTCGCGTTGGTCCCCCCTAGTCTGATTGGTATATAAGTCTGCAGGGTACCTCAAAACCGTGCACGGGGGCGGGTGTGCTCAATGCCGGGGCCCTATTGTGGGGGTACCGCGGGCGTCGCTGACCTAGATGATCGTTAACGGTAGTCTGGGGGCGACCCGCAGCCCCGGTGGTACTCTGTACGCCTCTGCAAACAGCAAATGACATCTTCAACCACAAACAAACCATCTTCTTCTTCTTCATTTTTCCCTGGCGAAATTAGTTTAGACAAGTTGTACACGATTTGTCATGTGGACTCCAAAGGTGATGAACAACAGGCACAAAAGAAAATTCTTGAGGCTTTCGATCTACCAGTTACGGAGGAAAACAAAAATGTCATTCAATCAATATTAAATACTCATNTAAGAAGAAAGCCAAATTTGATGATTGGAAGAAAAACCGCAGCAAGGATACTTACAAAGAAAAATTCTCGGGTCCAGTTTTGTCAAAGAATGAATTTCCCGACCAAAAACCATCCGGCAAAGAGAAATCAAAACCACCTAAGCGACCTACCCAAGCTTTACCCAAGTAGGACCTCTTCAAAAGTGCCGCAAACTGAGCGATTTGAATGCTGAACTTGACGAATTCGCAGCGGATAATAAACTTGATGCCAACCAGGTGATCGGTTACCTTCTCTATTAACGCAATTATAGATCAAACAAATACTTGGCCGATTTGGGCAACGAGCTCTATCGAACGGGACAAACTGCAAAGGAATCTCGCACGAATTTAGATGCCGATCAGACTCTTGCGTTGAAAACTCACATCAACATGAGCAGGAATGACATGGATTTCTTGAAGAGCTATCTGAATGCAGCTATCCATATTCCAAATCGAAATATTGTTCGGGAGCATTAGCAACGGTTAGTCCCAGCCGTCGCAGAATGTCGGGGCGGGCGAGGCATAGCAATTAGAACAGTAAACGACAGTATTTCTCTTACAGTGAAAAGGCTAATTGAACAGTATCTCACAGTGAAAACTCCTCTTTCTACTAATTTATTATATCGCCAGAAGTCGGGACACGGTGGTGCAGGGGGTCAGAGTGTCTACAGATCAAATGAAAATCCCATCACGGATGCGAATATCTTCTCGAAAATGATGGTGCCGCTCTCACTTTCGGACGCTTCAACGGGAGAGATATTCTGGCAAAACCAGACACCGAACAGTGCTTTCTGGGCAAGGCCCATACTAACAGCAGAGAAAGAAAGCCCTGACCTGATTCGCTTCATTAATGAAACATTTGAACCGCAAGAAGAAGCGCTGAGAAAACATGGACTTTCCTTTGATGATAACGGATAAAATTATACTATGACAGTGGTCATTGAAGATTCAATGAAAGACATGAAAGTGCAGAGCTGTTAGAATACACAAAAAATGTGTAAGCTGAAATGTACTGCATGAATATATTATTATAGTGTAAGCATAAGTTACAAGTCGACTGATCCTCCCACTTGAGACGTATTCGTTTTCATGCTTTTCATACTATTCTACTTTTCATCGCTTTCATACTTTTCGTCGTTTTCACCGCTTTCATACTTTTCATCGTTCTCATCGTTTTCATCGCTTTCATACTTTTCATCGTTTTCATCGTTTTTATCGCTTTCATACTTTTCATCGCTTTCATACGAAAAGTATGAAAGCGGCTGACCCAAATGACCAGTATGAAAGCGGATCACAAGTATGAAAGCGATGGAAGGTCTGAAAGCGGATGACCCGAATGAAAAGTATGAAAGCGGATCATAAGTACGAAAGCGGATCACAAGTATGAAAGCGATGAGAGGTATGGAAGGTATGAAAGCGGATGAGCCAAATGAACAGTATGAAAGCGGATCACAAGTATGAAAGCGATG